TCATATTTCTATAGTAGTTATAGTTCTGTTTTTTTTAAAGGTAGTAATAAGTATTCATGAGGATTTGGAGAAATGGAACCCTCCCACATAGCTGGTGTCAATGCAGAATTGAATAATCCATTTAAAAATGCTGGAAATTTCTTAATTAAAAATAAACCAAGTCTTAGGACCCAACAATTCCACTTCTAAGTGCTTTCCAAAAAGAAATGAAAATATACATCTACACAGGGACTTTCATAAAGCAAATGCTCATGGCGGTATTATTCACAGTAGCCAAAATATGGGGGCTTTCTTACATATTTTAAAAATGAGGTGCACTATACAAATTCCATTCATCAGAGAAATATATAAAGGCAATTTGGATTGTGACAAGAATTTTGTCAAACTGCATTGTGCTTATCATTGTGTTACTCAATTTACTCAAAACTGTTGATAGTAAGGATAAATACATTTATTGTCTTCTTGACACAATGTATGATTACTTGGAAGTTTGTCTCAATGAGGAATTTCCTAGATTAGTTGTGGACATTAATGTGAGGGATTTCTGAATTGGGTTCATTGAGTTTGTAAGACTTACTATGAACTTGGACTACACCATTTTCTCGGCTGGGCCCCAGAGTGAATGCATTGGAGCTTGCAAGGGAGCTTAGTTCTGGCATGCATGTATGGATTCATTCTTCTTGTCTGGGGATGTGATGTGATTAGCTATTTCAAGTTGTCGCTCCTTTTGACTACCCTGTTGATAGTAGAATGTAACCTGGAATTGTAAGCCAAACAAACCTTGTCTCTCTTAAGTTGTTCCTTTTTTTTTTTTTCTCAGAGTTTTCTATCACAGCCATGGAACATGAGACTCAGACATATTTTCTTTAAGTTTTCTACCATATAGTGCTAAAGTAGAAGTTTGCTTATTAAGACTTTAAGATATCTGATACCACATAACCAAGTAACCAAAGTCAATATCCTCAGTGATGTGCCATGCTGACATCATTTACTGCCCAAAACTATAATAATACATCTTTTTGTATGCATCTCTGGAACTCATAATTCTTATAAGTTTATTTATAAGAAAATATTAGACAGATTCAAGTTTAGTAACAGAACACAAAGTATTTTATCTTGTTCAAAACTGTGAAAGTAATGAAAAACACAAAACGTTGTCACAGACCAAAGAAACCAAGGGCACAGGCGTGCAGTTTGTCATTCTGAATGGGATTCTTATAACAGAAAAAAAGATATATATATATATGTATATATATATATATATTCAACATATAAAAAGAATTGATAACATATTATTTGACAGTAACATAACATTTACTAACATTAAAATAATTTCAGGTGTGAAAAAAGCCAACTATGTTTATTAAAAGTTATATTTTAGTGACCCATACTAAAGTCTCTATGGTTGAGTGCTGTGTTATCTGGGATTGTCTTTTAAATGATCTGGTGGAAGCAAAACTGGGAAAGAGAGTCAGTGGAGCTCACTCACCATACATTTTACCCTTCCACATGTGTGAAAGTGTCCGTAATAAATTTTTAAAATCAAATTCAATTGAAAAACATTTCACTATTTGCATTCTCTGTTGACCACAGTTACGTCTTGTCTTTTAAGAGTCAAATATGTGCATCAATTAATAAGCCATAAAAAGACTTACTGAATGTGCAGAAAATACCCTGATCAAGATAAAATCAGGGCTGAATACTTGGGAGAACATTAGGAGAAGTGCTTGAGTTAATAGACTCCTAAATTGCAGTGCTTCTTGTTCTTTCCTTGGAGCTCTGTGGTCCACTGATACGCTGCTATCTCAGTTCCTTTCTCTGTGAAGATTTTAAAATGAAATAGAGTATGGTCAGAAGCCACTCTTGTTCCTACTCAGTGCTCCAAGGATCTAAGCACTTTGCCACTGTGTCATTGTTGTTTGACTCAGTGCTTTCTTGGTGGCCTTGTGACTTGTAGCATGGGTCACTGTGAAATACCACATGTGCTGCTGCTCTGGAGTCCATACAAAATCTAGTGCAAAGTTCAGAGCTGTGTGCAGAGAGACTCCTTCTCCAGACTTTGTAATTTATGGCGATGTCACTGTATCATTGAATATTGACTATGATCTAGAAATCCTTGTAGTTTTGTTCTGACTAGAACATTTACCACTATTGTTAATCTACTGTCTAAGATTAATTTTTAAAAGATTTTAGAAGCCTGGTGGTGGTGGTGCATGCTTTTAATCCCAGCACTTGGGAGGCAGAGACAGACATATCTCTGTGAGTTGAAGGACAGCCTTGTCTACGGAGCTAGTAGTTCCAGGAGAGGCTCTAAAACTACAGCAAAACCCTGTCTCAAAAACAAGAAAGAAAGAAAGAAAGAAAGAAAGAAAGAAAGAAAGAAAGAAAGGAAGGAAGGAAGGAAGGAAGGAAGGAAGGAAGGAAGGAAGGAAGGAAGGAAGGAAGGAAGGAAGGAAGAAAATTAGAAATTGATACAAAATTTATTCTTAGTGAGGACATGAATCATAGGTCAGTTTTCAAGGTGGATTCAGTGTGCAGTTGTGAACATGAGAGCTGGAAGCCGTAAAGCAGAGAGGAGGGCCGTGATAAGACCCTGTCCTGATTTTCTGCCCCTCAGTCTCAGAGCCCTCAAAGTTATTTCACTTTCCTTAGTAACCTGCCTTCAAGCAGTTTCTACCTAACATTGTGCAGTGGGCAGCTCAGTGACAGAGTTAATGGCTTGTTCAAGTGCAATGAAGAGGAGCAGTGTTCATATCGAAGACAACTGGTTCCACTTCCAGGTCCATCTTTGGGCCAAAATACGTAGTCGCCAACAGTGAGTTGGCGACTGTATTTTTTGGGTTCTGGCGCAAAGCAAGATCCATCTGTTTTGCCCAGCCGTTTGCCTGAGTGCCACAGAATGGTCCTGTTATTAAGCTTATTTGTGGTCCTATTTGAGGTTAGGAATAATGTAAATAAACCTCAGTCCTCCTTTTGATGAATACAGCCCAGGAATTAAAAGTGGTGGTGTTGGTACTGTAAGCGAGGCTGTGTCTATTTTCTCAATTGTTCTGTTTTCTTTGGATAGAGAAACAGGCATTTAAGAATGAGTTTGTCATCTGGAAGGATAGTTGTGACCAAGTTTCTCTCAACAGGATACAAGATGTTATTTTTGAGCTTCATTACCCTTACCAGAGAGAGGGAGAGAGACAGAGACAGACAGAGAGGGAGGAGCCGGCAGAAATGGAGAAGAAAGCAAGTCACAGCACAGGGAGGGGTGTGTGGATGACTTAATGCTGACTGTTCATGATGAACTTTATGATTTTGAATAGTTGTGTTTACTGCACATTTGCTGGTTTGAGGAAAAGGAAATCTGACTGAACTGAACTGAACTGATAGTTGTCAGTTAATACTTTCTATGTGTGTATTCAGTCTGCTTTCTGTCACCTTTTGAGCCAGACAGTGATTCAGTTTCACTGACCACATGTTGTTGGTGAGAACAATACCAGTTGCAATTCAGATTTATCTAAAATGGACACTTTTTATCTTTCTGGATCATTTATCAGGGGTTATTGTTATTCCATATAATTTTTGAGCACAGTTATTTTTGTCAGTGTCTTTCATGAATGTTTGGTTGCCTTATAAGGATATATGTGCTCTCCCCTCCTCATTCAGTTGTCCCTGGTGACGCCTCCATAATTTCTGTCTTTACACTGGTGCATTTTTAGGCTAATTCAGGCATTTGAGAAGCAGAGGGAAAGTTTAGTAAGTCAGTCAGTAATTTTTTTCAAAAATATAATCCCATTCATGGCTGGATTTAATATGAAATATGGGCAAGTTTTCATTTAAAATGTATGTTCATCAAATAGGCACATTGCCTAAGTTATTATTCCATATATTTCAAAGGAAAACAGGTTTTGCAAGTGAGAACCAGATGCATTTTCTCATAATAGGTGCAATTTCAGGGGTGATTTATGATTATGATCTCATATGTGGAAATATTAAAATATTACTTTGTATTATGTGAGGGTCAGACATAAACCCAACACAATCAGTGCAACAAATATATATTAAAATGCTGTTTTAAAGTAAAATAAGGAAGATAATTATACTAGCTCCATTTTGTATTTAAAAGTATCTTTTTCTAAACACTAATGTGTTATTTATTTGAAGGTAAAAATAGAAATGACTTAATGTAGTATGTTGTGATTCTTTTATTACTATTGTTTGTATTTGAAGAAAAGATTGAAAAAATAAACAAAGTGCTTTAAGCCCAAACTTGTGGGATACAGTTGGAGAGCTGAATGCCTGGACTCTTAATTTGACGATACATGGAACCAGAGAGTTAAACCAGGATGTCTCATTCAAATCCTTATGATTTTCCTGTCTTACACTGATGATGATATGGAATAGGAAGTGCAGTATGACATGAAGTGGGGCACACAAGCATCCCATAATATAATTTGTGACCATTTTGCATTTTGTATAGCTAACCATGTTTGTGTACCTCTAGCTTCCAGCCCCTCCCCCATGGGTCAGTCATTTGGAACCATAGATTAGTATTTTTCCCAGTTTATTGCAGTCATAGTTTTTCTTCATCATGGATATTCAGATTCATAGATTTTTTTTCCTATGGACTTAATATTTTCCATACTCTTTTGATTGTGAAATTTTTCTTTAGGATGTTTTTTCTTTAAATTACTTAGATTAAATTCACTTTGGAAGTTTCTAGCCATACCACTATGAAGTCCTCAGTATGGAGGGAGTTTTTTTTTTTTTTTCAAAATTACCTTTGTTTCCTCTTTAGATTCTATTATTTTCATTAAGAAACTACTCTGGGAAACAGGTTTTTTTTTTCCCTCTCTCTCTTTCTTTCTTTTTCCCCCTTAACAGGAATAAAAAAGCTCCGCTTGACTGGTAATGCATTGCTTTGGATGGGGAAACATTATGAAAGTTTAATTTTTAATTAAATCTGAAATACCAATTATAACTGAAAGAGATTTTAACCTGTTTCTTTTCAGACTGCCTGAAGTTACATTCTGAGACTGAAATCACTGCACCTTAAAAACAAAAGATTGAGCGGCACTGTGTCCCTGTGAGTAGACGCTTCCCGTCCCTTCCTCAGTGCTTCTGTGACCAACCCACAAAGGGACAAAACCTATCATAGTAACCGACAAGAGGGAAAATCTGAATGTCCCTGAAGAAATCTATCCTTAAATGATTTCCTTTAAAAAAAAAAAAAAGTTATTGAGCTCAGTGTTTCTGGGTGTCTTTTATTCACTCGAAATTATGAGACCTTTCTTTTGAATTTCATTAGGGAGGGTGTCGCCCACTGTGCAGCACAGTGACACACACCCTCTTTGGAGAGCTTTGTGCATTTTAGACCACACTCTTAGAGGTAAAAGAATTCTTTTGAATCAAAGTAGATTTCGTTTTCTTTAGTGATGTCGCTAGAAATTTTAGTCTTTGTGTCAATGGAAATGAAAAGTTCATGATGACATCACAAGATTCTATAGCCTTGAAGATTTTTGGGCAAACCTAAGTAAAAATGCATAATTCCCTTGTGTGCGTGTGTTCCCCATTCTGCTGTGAAGCAGTCAAAATAGCACATCTTATGTCTTCCCGTGAGCTACAAGGCTGTCTCTCAGAGCCCCATTGTTCCATAAATGCATGTCAGAGTCTACCACAGTCTGCTCTACCCTTATTTAGCTGCTGTTTTGTCAATGTACTTGGAAGAACAATTAACATTTGGGATTTCAATGTCTGAAAAACAGGCAGTGAATAGAACTGGAGCAAATAAAAGATTCAGATGCCCAGGGTAAGAAAACAGAAGCTCATAGTTGGTGGAAGAGAGAAAGAAAATCACTTTAATGCTGTATTCGGAGTTGGGAAATACTGAAAGGAAAGATCTTTTTCATATTTTAGATCAAAATACAGATTTTAGCAATAAAATCCAGGTTTATTATGCCTTGCTAAGTTTTACAGTCTGATGTTTTCTGTCGAAGTCTAAAAGAACCATCTCTTCTACTGCAGTGCTGGGTGTGGGGTCTCTTTCCTTACTGTGCCCCCGATTCCTCAGCGCGCACCATCTCTTCCATTGTAGTGCTGGGTGTGGGATCTCCTTACTGCACCCCAGCTTCCACAGATGGGGTCCCCACGCAGAGAGTATGCCTACTTCCTCCATTTTCATTTTGCTTCACTATAGTCTGTTATTACTGACTGAAGATAGGCAGAACCTCGAATGTCTGCATCTTTTGTTTGAGTTCTGTTAAGTTCTTTTTTGTTTATGTGTTTTGTTTTTGAGAGAAGTGACACAGGGGATACTTTGGCAACTTGGGTTTGTTGACAACCTAGACTAAATAAATAAGTAACAGTTGCTAATTTTGTCATAATTTTAACAGTTCAAGCCTACAGATACTAAGGTCTCTAAAAGTAAGGATTAGTTCAGGTTTTTTCCCCAATACTTATCACAGTAATTGATAATCACACACACACACTTAATCACACACACAAACAAACATACCTACACACAACCCCCCCCCCAAAGAAAACAAAAATAAAACAAAAAAACTATTGTTTGCGGCACAATTATACAAGTTTTTTTTTTAAGTCAGAGATTTGAGAGTATTTACTGTACAGAGGGATCAGGTAAAGATTTTGGCAGGTAGAAAAACAATTATAAAAAATTTGCCATAGAGCATGCTTCCATTCATGTCAGGCGGGGCATCAGCCTCTTGTTCTTTCATCACCATGCTAATTTACAGTTCTTTTCCTGGCCCAAAGAAGAAGTATCCATTCATATATATCCTATTGGTCTGTGAAATAGTCTTCAGTAATTTTCTCTCTAAGTCCTGTGTTATTTCTGGTGTAGTAGAATTGACTCTGATCTGCCTGGTTGGAGATATTGGCCACATCTTCTCTCACGTTGACTGTACGTACAGCAGACATTTGAGGGAAGTGAAGCAAGCATTGCTGTTTGTGCTAGCTTCAGAGGACAGGGTCTTGAGAAGTTGCTGTGAGAAAATCTTTTCATTGAGACAAACATCAGAACCAAATCACAATCCCAGTAAGAGTACAGTATTCTTTAGAACTCAGATCTGGCTGACCTAACATTTCCAGTCACCTCTCCCTAACTCTAGTTAAGAATTTTTTTCTGACAGGAATTCTTTTTTCATTTTTGTGCAGTCAGCTCTCGGTGATAACAATTAAGGCTTTCATAAAATTTAAACTCTGGGGGAAACCTGTATTGATACAATTTAGGCCTAGTCAATTGTGCTACCATATTGAAAACCGTTTAAAATTATCAATGTTCCTTATAAATTATTCCACATTTTTTAGGGTGGAAACCTGAGGTAAAATTGATGACAGGGAAAAAACTGTCATAAGACACAACAGCAGCAAGGAATGTAAAAGAATGGAAGTCTGACCTCTCATTCTGAAACTACTAAGTTGAGGCACAGGTAGTGTTCTTAGGCTATGACAACCATACTGACGACAAAGATAGATCATTCCTCAACGTGTAGACCAGACAGAAGACCACACCTGGATGTCGAGCTTCCAGCATTCCTCTGAAGGTAGTGTAAGCAATGCTTTCAGTGAGACAGATCTCCTTTTGATAATTTTGAGAGTTATTAACTGTTTACCAATTAACCTAAAATTAATGAATAAAGCTCTGAAACTATTATCAAAACTTTTTTTGTTAGCCCTACACATTTTGATACTAAACCCTTGGTTGTGCCCTGTGGTCTTTATAGACAAAATTTATTGGTTCACTTAATATTCATTTTAGTGATTGATGAAGATAGTTCACTAGAAATTTCCATAGTAAACTGGCTCATAGTCTTGAGAATGAAGCCTGTATACCAAACATCGAATTCAAAATTGCCAGCAGTGTACATGGTGTCAAAGGTTGCTGTTGTCAGGTGCCATTCCTCTAAAAGAAAGTTTGTGGTAGGAATGAAATAAACTTGAGTAATTTAAAATGAATTAATTACTATGGGAATTTATGTCACCCTGCTTTTATTAATTTTATAATTTAACGATCCAAAGAGGGAAGCATCAGAACTTATTTTACCCAGAGTCAGCTCCTAGACCAATATTTTTGTTTCTTAATTTCATTTTACCACACCCACGCCTTCTACTTCTGGCCTTGAAATTGTTCAAATAAAAGGGTGCAAAAAGTTAATGGCCTAAGTTTTGTGTCCCAACAAGATGAAACAGATATGCTTTTACAAGTGCCCATGAAAGCTTTAGCATACGGAAAAAAAGGAGATCATGGCATGAGAATGTCAGAATAGAGTTCTAGATATGCTTATCAACAAACTGCTCTCTTCAAACTTTTCTTGCTTCTTTATAATAATTAACATTTATTATATGCACCCTTCTAACAAACATGTTACCAGGGCCATTAATACCTTTATTGTATAATTAAGGGGTTTTAAATCTGTTTGGTAAATCTCCTAAAAAATGGAGTCATTAATTCATTCGTCAACCATGTTTGATGTTAAGAATATAGAAATGAGTTCTGAAGTCTGAGGTGAATTTCTAAGTTCTTAAAGAATCAGACATTAATCTAGTACACAGATAATAACAAAATTACAGATTGTCTCCATGAAAAGAACTGTTTATTTAAGGAGAATGTGGGTGAAGTAAATTTAATTTTAATACTCAACTAAAGTGTTTTTTTGTTTCTGAGTTTGAAGAGAGTTTGAACCTCTAAAATTTAGGACTAATATCTTAGGCCACATTTTCCATATGCAAAACTCAAGAAGAATGCTGACAACCTTCTGAGACAAGGTCAGGTTCATTTCTGTTTAGTTAATAATTATTAAAGTGCTGTTGCTGGTTAATTCATTTCTTATTTTTCTGTTCTTTACATATATAAAAAATATATACCAACAATAAGTTTCACTCCTAGACTCTATTTTTCACTGATAAACCTTAATTTTATCTTTAAGTATGGTTCTATTTTATCTTAAACAATTACAAGAGGCCTAGAAGCAATGAAAGCCTTGAAAATTGTTACTTTCTACAACTGTGCTAAATTTCTAAATTGAAGAACAAATCAGATATTTTAGAAACAGGTTGCATTAATATCTTAGGAAGTCAATAAGCAAGAATAGAGTTATTTATGTGTTTTCAGAATGTTGTATATCATCCTTTTCAGTGTATGCACAGAGAGAATGTTAATATTAACCATAGAAAAATAGATTATACTCTAAAAAAAAGAAAGTCTATCTGTCATAACTCAGAAGACATTGCCATTAGCGAATACTACAACAGCAAAGAACTTTAGGGATTTTTTTCTTTAGGGATTTTTTAAATAAAAATCAGGCCTAGAATTCTTATAACAGTTAACTATACGGCCATCTAATTAAACAATTATTAGCTTAAGTGGGAAAACTGGGCATGTGACCATAATTTTTAGCCATATTACTGCATCCAAGCCACCTAATAGATGATCCACGTCCTTCCCATAATCCCTTCACAGTCTTAGGTGAAAGAGGACCATTTATACAAGAGACAAGTTTGTGCAGAAGCCCCAGTTAATGGATAAAGATGGATAAAGGAATAGTATAGGTGACTCCCGTTCTCTTTACTTCATGTACCAGATGCCTTCTAAGAGTTGACTGTCACCGTTGCTACCCACACTCTGCAACTGCTCAGCAAAGAACCATGTTGTAATGAAGAAACTTAGCCCCAGGAAGTTTAAGTACATGCAAGAACACAAAGCTAATATGTGAGTCTAAAAGATTCCAACACTGGGGATCTCTTACTTAATATTTTTATCTTGTGTGCTTTGGTATCACCTCAGCTGATGTGATCTCAGAAATCATTATATCCTTAGCGGTCTGAATGCCTTAAAAGCTGAAAAACTGCTAAGAAAGTAAAAGTATGTCCACTCCACATAAAACTGTCACATCGAACTCTTCCATGGCATTAGAACATCATGTCAGAGTAAATTACCTTTAGAAACCATGTATCACAGTGAAATCTTGAGCTGGCATTCACACACATACTCCACTTGTTTGTTTTTCTGCCTGTGAAATAGTGTTTCATCTACTCAGAGGATGCCAAACAACTTTCTAGACAAGA